TTTCATCCCCTCCCCTCCCCGCAGGCTTTGTTTGGCCTGATCCCGACCCGACTTCTGTCGCCCGGGGGCGGGAAAGTGAAAAAGACCGCTTCGGAGACGGCGAGGAAACGGATCCGTCTGGATCAAGCGGATTCTTTCCTTTCTGCCTTTTCCGTGACGAGAGATTCTCCTGAGCGCTGAAGGTGTGTGTGTGTGTGTGTGTGTGTCGAGATGGGATGGTTGACGGGCGACCTTTGCTCCCGAGAAAGGCCCTTCGGGGGTACCACTTGGGGGAAAATGCCAGGGGTCAGGGGCAATGGGAGGGAGGGGTCACGTGGCATCTAGGGAGAAGCAAAGAAAAAAAAATACATCACACTGGACGTGGAGGGCGAGGGGTGGGGTGGGGTGGAAATGACCTCCAACAGGGGATTGCCGGCGGGGCACGGGATTGTTTGCTTCCCCGTCTGAGCTTGAAGCCCAGGAGCGTTGGGGTGGGTTAAGAGGGGGAATCTCCTTTCTTTAATGCTAGTCACCCCTCCCCGTCCCCGCACCTGTCCAGGCTGTGTCTACAGTGGCCTCCTGGCACCGTCTTGCCGTCTTTTGCTCTTCATCTGTCTCTGCCCTGCACAGCCAATGTCTGCTGTGGGGGCGTCCTTGACAAACGAATGCAAGACATCTTTGATGAGGAGGAGCACCCTCTGAGGCACCGGCGGCCCTTGCCCTCCACCCCAAGTCTTCCCCTTTACCATCCAGCATCAGGATAGCTGATGGATGTCGGCTCCAAGAACTCTGATTGCCATCCCCACACCCCACAGGGTTGTCTTCACTCACAGAAACAGTCATGCCACAATCAAGTCTCAGAGACGGGGAAGGAAGGCATCAGGAGTTGGGTTTGAACCATGACTGGCCACATGTTCCCACTGTCAAGAGTTTGGCCCTATAAATATTTGCTAGGCCTGCTCTCCCATTCCTGTAAGGGGGCATAGCTGTCTTGCAGGCTCTGACTACAGTAAGGTGGAAATACCTTCATTATCCAATACAATCTTGCCAGCGTTCGGGTCAACACCAGGACAGTTATAGGGCCCTCTTTCCACTCATCTCCCCCTCCCTCATCACCCCAGTGCCTCACAGCAGATCTGGAGTTTCCCAAGCTTTCAAAATAATGAGAAAGACAGACAGAAAGACAGAGATGAGCAAAGCCCTGTTTCTGTGGGAAAGCTTTCCGGAGACAACTCTCCTGGCAACAAAGTGTCTGAATATGGAAATTACCTGAGGATTAAAGTGACTTCAGAATTGGATTCCTTGATTCTAGTTGTAGCATTCCAGGAACAGAATTTGGGATTATGTAAATATGGATCATCCTTTTTGACAAAAGCAGGGCTCCCGGAGCTACTAACTAGGAGAACAGGAGTAGATGCTGCTGTCCCCTTGCACCTTCAGTGTGTTGCTTTTGAGAGAACCTTGGGGAGGTCAACTTTGCCTCAGCCAACGTACATAACTAAAACGCAGGACTGAGAAAAGGAGCAGCTGTTGGTAAAGAACACGCAGGCAAAGTTCACTGAGGCTCATTTAATGAAGTTTAGTTGATTCTCATCATTCTTTCACACACAAATCCTTCTGAATTCACAGTAAGATCACGAGATATGAACAAGGTTATGCCCTCAGTTGCTAACAATGGGACAGATTCAGATTCAGGCAATGTGCAACATTGCTGACAAAAGGAAACTTCCCTGCATGTAGCCATTCTGTCAGAGGAAGATTCTGGATCCAGCCCTGTGACTTCAGTAGGAGACAGAAATTACTTTTTTTCCCACTCTTATAGCAGTCATCCATTTACATGATACTGATTAGGAATTTGTGTGCAAATTGTGGATGCTGCCCCAAGAAGACTACAATCTTAATTTCAACAGTGGAGGAAGGACGTACTGTATGGAGGAAAGGAAGAAATGAGGTTAATTGTGAGAGGGTGAGCATGGCAGAGGCAAGAAAAAAGTTGGCAAAAAATAATTCAAATCAATTAAGGACAGTTTTAGTACATTATATAGCATATTTTGTCCTGTTAGGAACTACTGCTATTCCAATGATCTGTATGTGTACTAATTATACATTGTTGCTACATATATGATTTTTCTACAGGGAAGTAACAGTAAACTTATACCAGAATAAGTTCCACTCATGCAGAATAACTGCAGTTTCTTGTTGGATTTACAGGAGTATTTAGAAGATGGGGAAGTGCTCCACTGACTGCATAGTCCTGCCACTATTCTACACCCAGGCATGACCCTGTGATGACCCTTGGTCTTTGGGGGGGCCCTCCTACTTAGATTGTGTGGCCATCTAGAGAGGTTATGGCAGGTGAGGCAGGTATTATTTTGACTACCGTGTTATTGTCCCCTAAAAGAAGCCATGCATGTTCGTGAAAAGTTGGTGGCTTTTTTTAACTTAAGTCAAACAATGTCAAACTAGAAATTGAAATAGAAATTTACGAGAAGACTAACTGAAGGAAGATCATTTTTGTAGCTGACACTCAGACAACCTGTAGAACCTTGGAAAAACAGTTGCAGACACTTGCTTTTTGCTTCTCTTGTTCCCTGCATGCAACACAGTCAAAAGCACAGGTTCAGAGTTCAGCCTGATGCCCCCTTCGGCTTTGCAAGGTGTCCCCTTCAGCTCCACACAGCAACCTGTTCCTCTTGGCAATCTTGGCAACTGCCCAGCTTGCCCACCCCAATAGCCAGCTCTCTCCATTTCAGAGCTAAAAAGTTGAGATTCCAAGCTCCTCAGGCTGACATATAAATAGTAATTTTCACAGCAATTCTAGACACATATCTCTGTGCAACGGGACCTGCATTGGTGGCAATGCAGTCGTGCACACATCTACATAGAGGTGAATTCCTCTTGAGTCCAATAGAGAAGTGAAAGACCAAGGTGGATCACCTCCACCTCAACCCCGCCTCCTTTACATTCTTCTCTTTCTTTTCAGCCTACCTTTACTCCTGTGGAATCTAGAATTAGATTTCTTTTTAAGGATTTTGCCATCCCTGCACTGATTCCTTATCTCAAAACCCTAGCCATTCATTTTATCCTTGTGTACCTTTTGATTTAACCCATCGCTGTGGTGTTGCCCAGAAGCCCTTTCTTTCTGTCACTGTATACATTGGCGGGTGTAAAATGACTCAGAGCAGTCTTGGGTAAATAAGCAGAACAGAAATATAACATGATGTTCTAACCATCACGGTCCTCTCACTGCGGTCCTGTTTAAACAATGGCCTAATTTGGTGTAATGCTCACATTGTTCATTTTGACGGCAGCCCATTATGAAAGTGTTGAATTTAGTGACATGAGAGTAGGAGCCTCTTGGCATTCTGGCATCAGAGCAAACACCTGGCTCTCAGTGTTGTGTTTTGTTTTGTTTTTTGTTTTAAGGAGACGTCTTTTTACAGCACCAAAGTGTCTACACTTCAGCGGCCATATTTCAAATAAATATCCTTATTCTCAGAAGTCAGTAAGAAAGCAAACAGTGTTGGTTATGATGAACGTCATTGGTGGAAGTTGAACAGTTCATGAGTTGAAATCTGATTAGGTTAGATAGGGTCGCCTGCACACAAATAAAGTGAAATAAAAACATCTGGTATCTCTCCTTACCACACCCACATTAGTGTTGGAAAGGAAAAATATTAACCAAATGCCATTTGCATGTAAAAATAAATGTTCTTGTGATGTTGAAGATCTTTATGTGAGCTAATTTAGGCCAATTAAAGACAAATGGAATTTTTAACTCACTAGAAATAATTCAGATTTGGAGATTTTTCAAACACTGCTTTTTTAAAAAAATGACATAGATAATTCCAGTTTTTCCAGTAGGTTTCCATACATCAAACTTTTTGTTTCAGTGCTGTTTATTTGGTATGTGTTGGGGGTTGATGGTGGCAGCTTTGTTTTGCTTTCATGCTAACAATACAATCTGAAATAATAGATTGAGCCAGAATGTGTTGTGGAGATGTCTCTTAAGTTTAAGCATATGGGACCATTTTCAAGGTTAGTTCAGCAAATTCAAATCTGATTAAAAAGTCAACTTCAGCATGCTAAAAATGCTGCAGCCAAAAAGATACCCAAGGCGATAATTTATTTCTGCCTTCTGGCTCTTAAACAGCCGTGTAACCCATAGGGCATCTCTGTATAGCTTATTTTGATTTTAAATTGGTTTAGCCATCACAGTTTACCATTTGAAAAACCTGTCCATCATAGTTAGCTGTTGAAAAATTTCTAATAAACAGACCAGCTTGCAGAATTTTATTTTCATGGTTCTTGGTCATTATTCAACCAGCATATATCTCCTCTCCCCATGTTTGTGTACTGTACATGCATGCACACACACAGAGAGAGAGACAATGATCATTTCAAGAACAAAGAGGAAGCTCCTTTTACAGGAAAACCACTCCTGCTTTCAGAAAAATCTCTGTCTCAAACAGATGGGACATGTGAACTCTGCACTTTCTAAAACTTATGCACCATCAGTGAAAGGCCTGTTGACAAAGAAGGCAATCTTATATCTAACCTGATCATATCTAATTCTATGGAAAAAGACACAATTGTCTAAGTACATAGTATTGCTCCATCGAGAAACGGATTGTCTTACTTTTAGTTTGGATCTAACTGGGAAGTCTAAAACAGAATGGGAAACTCAGCTTAGCAGCAGAACTGGGCTTACTATTTCCATTTTGGGTGGTGGTGGGGAGAGAGATTGACTGATAGACAGACGAACAGGGCAAGTGACAGACAGACAGGCATACAAAATATGAGAGAGATGAATATCCTCAAGTGGTGTCTGGATTTCTAGAGGGATAACCTTGTTAATCTGTCACAACAAGAACAACATACACATGAAGTGCTATGCTGGGTGATAAGTAATTCAGAAGATGTTTCATGCATCTGATGAAATGGATTCTGGTTCATGAAAACTTAT